ATGCCTCAGCCCCCCTTGACATGGGGCAGGGGGTCTCGGCTTCTAAACCCCCCAGCCTGTTGCTGAGGCTGCTTCCTCCATGCTCCCAGACAGAAACTAACTAACTCTCCTCCAGCCCTGCCCCCCAGCCAGGGCAGCATTCCACCTTCCTTTGTTTCTCCCCATGGGGGGTAGCTGGTCAGACAGATTTGGAGCCCCCTTTGCATAATGACCAGACAGCAGAGGTCGCCACAGCCCTAGCAAGGCACCCCCACTACATCACAGATGGATAGAATTACACTGTAGTATTCAAGATGTGGATGCACTATAACTGACGTGGAGGCAAGATGATATTTTCTGCCTTGAATACTGCGTACAGATGTGGTTGCCTCATCTCAAAAAAGAGATCTGGGCACTGGAAAAGGTCCAGAAAAGGACAACCAAAATTATAGGGGTGTTGAATGGGCACCATGTGAAGAGAGATTAAAAAGACTGGGACTTTTCAGCTTAGAAAATTAAGGTTGGTGGGCAGTATGATAGAGGTCTATAAAATCATGACAGGTACGGAGAACGTAAATAAGGAAAAGTTATTTACTTGTTCCCATAACGTAAGAACTAGGGGTTACCAAATGAAATGAATAGGTGACAGGTTTAAAGCAAACAAGAGGCAGTTTTTCTTTATGCAGTGTACAGTCAACCTGTGGAACTCCTTGCCAGAGGATGTTGTGAAGACTAGGATTTTAACAGGGTTCAAAAAATAACTAGATAAATTCATGGAGGCTAGATCCATCAATGGCTGTTAGCCAGGACAGGGTAGGAACGGTGTCCCTAGCCTCTGTTTGTCAGAGGCTGGAAATGGGTGTCAGGGAAGTGATCACTTGATGAGTTTTGTTCTGTTCACTCCCTCTGGGGCATCTGGCATTGGCGACTGTTGGAAGACAGGATATTGGGCTAGATGGACCCAACATCCAATATAGGATTGCCCTGCACTTGGCATGTTACAGACAGTGAAACCTGACAATGTACCCAGTTCCTGCTAGAAGGGAGCCGCTGGCACCAAAAGTCTTCACCCTAAAGCACAAGGAGTCACCGGAGAGGCTGCATGAGCAGCAGGCAGTGTGTGCTCAGGCAGGGAAGTAACTGCCTTATTCAGCATGTTTGTGTAGGCCCCTTACTAAAGGAGCCTCTGACTTTGATTGCAGCTACAGCCTGTTACTGAGAACCTACCCGGGCTTGGAACTAGCAGGCCGCTTCGGGGGCTGCTGAGGATTGTCCCTAGAGGGCAGAGACTCTGCCTTTGCCTGTGGCTGTGAAGGGCCTACATAAACCTGCACTGGAGGTGACTGTGAGTAACTGGGCTGTTTGGAAAAGTGCTGCCTAGGACAGAGCACAGAAGACAAACTGACTCTGGGTGCAATGGGAGGCAGAGTGATCTGCCCAGAGAACCAGAGCTGCTGGCATTTGGTGGGGCCTGCTCCAGTGGCAGAGGGATTTTGCAGCTGGTTGCTCAGCTTGGACTAACACACAGAACCTGCCCAGGGCTGTCTCCACTCCAGCTGCAGACCTTCAAGCGCACCCACCCAAATGTCAGGGACTCTGAATCCAGAGGAGGGCACGTTCTGGGGTGGGATAGATGGTAGCAGTGCATATGCCAGATGGATAAATTTCCTTTCTTTCTGTGTACTTTGTTAATTGATTTTATTCACTTTTAATCTGTTATACCCTGTTTCTTCAAGCTGTTAAGTAAAGGTGTGTTAATGCTAATCTAATCAAAGTGTATTATTTATAATTGTTGTCTTGGAGTTAGATCCAGATTATTGCTGAAATAATTTTATTCCTGGAGGCTTCCAAGCACACCACTAAGGCTATGTCTAGACTGCAAGCCTCTTTCGAAAGAGAGCGTCTAGACTGCACGCGGAATTTCGAAAAAGCAAGCCGCTTTTTCGAAAGAACTTTTCTAAGCTGAACAGTCCCAGTCTCTGTAGCCTCTCTTCATCTGGGACCTGTTCCCAACCCCTGATCATGTTAGTTGCCCTCCCCTCTCCCAGCCTTTCTCTTCCCCTCTCCCACCTCCTTTTCCCAGTCTCCCCCAGTTTTTTTCAATAAAGACAGAGTCAATGTTGGAAGAAACGTTATCTTTATTTTGTACATCAATAAGAAGGGGGGCTAGGGAAGGGTAAGTGGAAGGAGGTGAGGGAGGAATGGGGTACGAGCCCCCGATGGGGAGGACTGGGCTGGCTCTGCGGGCTTCTGGGGGTGGAAGCTCTCCTGCAGCCCCCCAATTACTCCCTCTCCCCAGATGGCAGCCTGCGGCAAGTGCAGCTGGGCTGATGGCCGAGTGGTGTGATGTGCCCAGTGTGGGCACTCAGGGCACTCCAAGCCAGAACTTCTTTGCAAGCGGGGCACCCCTTAGAACTGTGTGTCCGGGGTGGGGGTCGGGACCCTTTAAGCGCAGCCCTCGGCTAGCCTGAGACAGCATCTCCACGCTCTAAGTCCTCCTTTTATGCCCTGCCGGCACTGCTTCCGGCCATCCTTAAGCCCTGTTCAGAGTCCACTCAATGTGGACTTACTAGTTCGAACTAGCAAAACGCTAGTTCGAACTAGTTTTTAGTTCTAGATGCGTTAGTTCGAACTAGCTTAGTTCGAATTAACTAATTCGAACTAAGTTAGTTCGAACTAGCGCTGTAGTGTAGACGTACCCTAAGTGTCTACAGGGCCAGCCATGTGGCGGCACCGCCATTGTATATTCTTTAGGAGCAAGGGGGTGGCTAAGAATCCCCAACTGAACAACATCACCACCGAGGTACTCAGGATCTCCTTTTATGTTAAAATGTCAAGCGCCCAGGCACACCTGTGAGTATGACCCGCTCCCGAGCAACCCCGGGAGAAAAAAGGGGGTTACATCTGTACATTCCCTTGGGGCCACTTGGCCATCAGGGGACCTCAGCAGTTTGGCTTCGTGTGCACCAGCTTTAACCCCATCACAGCCAATGGCAAATGGCAGGAGGCCGAATCACAGGGGATGGGGGGTGACGCTAAACCACTGGTCGGCAGCAATGGCAAATGGCAGGAGGCCGAATCACAGGGGATGGGGGGTGACGCTAAACCACTGGTTGGCAGCATCAGCCCTGCTGCAGGCTCCGTTCCTGGAATCCAGGCTTGTCGGCACTGTACGTTCTTATGTTCTTATGTTCCTTTGCTGCTGAGGCCTGTCAGCACACTCTGCCGAGGGTATTCTGGGCCCCTCCTGCAACTGGGCCGCCAGAGGGGGGCATCAGGCCACAGAAGGAGACAGATCCCGTTCTGTCTGGCCTGGACAGAGCTCCACTCCAGCCACCTGGCTTCTCTGTGCAGAATGGAGCTCAGTCCTGCTGTCCCAGCCCTCAGCACTCCTGGAACAGAGCCATTTCCCCCATTTCCCAAGGCATCATGGGAGTTGGAGTCCTTAGGGCTAAGTAGGTCAGAGGCTGCTGTAATAAAGAGGCCATTATTATTATGATGATGATGATTATTTCAGTAGGATCATTACAGCTGTGATAGCTCTGTTGTTCCCGCCCATCTGGCCCCACTGTAGCCATGTGACTAATCGGACCTGCTCGGCTGGTGATCCCAGTTCTCTTCTATGGCAGGAGTCCCCGACTTAACGCCTGGAGCATGAACCTGTCAAGCTCCACCTTAAACCGATCTGGGTTGTTCCCCCATGCTCCTTTTGGGCGGCTCTTCTAGAACCTCCCTCCTCTGAGGGGCAGAAATCTCCTTCCCAGCCTCAGTTTACTGCTTACCCCCCTCGCCCCATTTCTTCTTCTGCTTCCCACACCCTCTGCCCCATCTCTTTCCGAGGCCCCCACCCCTGCGCCTCCACTGGCCAGGTGGGAGCCGGGCTGTGGTAAGGGCATAGGACAGTGTGTGAAGTCCCAGACTCTGCGCCTTCCCTGGAAGCATGTCCTGCCGTGTGGGGCTGCTCACAGGCCCACCAGCCCCCTGCCCAGGACAGCAGGAGGGTCTGGGGCTGGCACAGTGACGCTGGCTCCCAGTGCAGCTCTTACAACGGTCAGGCTCTAGCTTCCGGCCGGGCCAGGGAGCAGGGCCTCAGGGACAGAGAAGCAGGATGTGGCACCCCAAGGGGGAAGAGGAGGAGCAGGGGCTGGGGCTCCCGGTTGTGTCCCACACTCCCTTTTGCAAAGGGGGGCACCCTACACTGAACGGGCTGGGGTGGGAGATGAGCTAGACATGGCCCTGTGGGGGAGCCGAGGCCCATTTCCGCCCCATTGCATTACAGAGGTGGTGCAAACGGAGGGGAGTCAGAGGGAATCTAGGCCTAAGTTTCTTGCCAGGACTCCTGTGTACCAGACCTTCCCTCACACACACAACCCTGCTGCCCCTCGGGGCACTATGGTGGACTCAGCCGGTGTGTGGTATGTGGGGACATAAATGGGGGAGGGGGTTCCTGACTGGTTTCCGGAGCGCCTGCCTTAATCCTGTCTCTGACACGACTCAGCCACAAGCCCCCGGCTGAGGCTGTGGAGGAAGGGTGGGTGTCTGTACCCCTTGAATCGCCCCTGTCCACAGCTGGCGTAGCCCCATGGAGCACCCAGCACCCAGAGGGCACTGCTACTTTTTTCATTATCTCTGGGTGCTAGAGACAGGCCAGGAAAATGGGAAACAACAGCCACATCCCTTGTCTTTATTGACTGTAGCATCAGGAATTCGGAGATTGGAGCTGCCGCTGAGATGGTTCTCTACAAGCCAATATCCCACCAGTCCCCTGGCTCTCCATGAACAGTCGCTTTGTAAATGCTGCAGCCTGCCTTGGCCTCCTTCCCCCAGCACCACGTCCTTGCTCACCGGAGGCTGGGGACAGCCCCTCTCCCCTGGCTCCAGGCCTTAGAGCCTCTCAGACCCTCTCTACAGACTAGAGATAGTGGCTCATGACCTCTGTGATGTAAGGGCCCAGGATGCCTTGGTCCATGTTTCTTGTCACCCATCTCACCAGCACTGGCATCAGGGGATGTGCTGTCCTTTCACTTGACAAACACCCTGATGATCCTCGCACGCAGGTGTTTGCTTTTCACACTGTACACGATCGGGTTCATCAGGGGCGGGACCACCAGGTAGACATAGCCAATGAGAATCTCAAGCAAGGGGGAAGCGTTATTCACGAACCTGTGTATCACAGACAAGCCGAGCACGGGAGTGTAGAAGAGGAGGACGGCGCAGAGGTGGGAGACGCAGGTGCTCAGGGCCTTGAGGCGCTCCACGTGGGACGCGATGCTCAGCACCGTTTTGAGGATCATCACGTAGGAGAGGAAAATGAACAGCGAGTCCACCCCCACCGTGGAGATCGTGACAAACAAGCCGTAGATGCTGCTGACTCTGATGTCTGAACAAGCCGTCTTCATGACCTCCTGGTTTATGCAGTAGCAATGAGACAGGACGCTGACTTGACAGTATTGATAGCGTCTCAGGAGAAAGGGGAGTGGGAATATTACGGCCACCCCTCTTAGCGTAAACACCAGTCCCATCTTGGCTATTCTGGGTGGGGTTAAGATGGAGGCGTATCTCAGCGGGTAACAGATCGCGACAAAGCGGTCAAAGGCCATCAACAGGAGCACAGAGGATTCAGTGAAGGAAAAGGAGTGGATGAAGAACAACTGGGCAAAACAGGCATCCAGGCTGATCTCTCTAGAGTTAAACAGGAAAGTGCTGAGTGTCGTCGGCATGGTGGATAATGATAATCCAATGTCTGTGATGGCCAACATAGAAAGGAAAATGTACATAGGCTCATGGAGGCTTGGGTCTCTCTTTATAATGAACAGAATGAAAGCGTTTCCTGCTATCGAAATAGCATACATGAAGCAGAAGGGGATGGCGATCCAGATATGGGCGTCTTCCTGCCCAGGTATCCCGGTGAGGAGTAACACTGCAGAGTTGAATGTGGTGTCATTGACAGCTGACATAGTGTACTGCACAGGCCTGAGGAGCTTTGACTTTTCCTTCCTAAAAGGAAAAAAAAAACAGGAATCTAGGTTATATTAAACAAGGCACCTTTCTGCTCTCAGTGGAAGTCAAGGGACTCCCAAGTACTCAAGGAAAATCATCAAAAACTTAGTCTTAGATTTGCATAACCTACAGAAAAATGGGCACTGTCAGACTGGATTAGACCTGTAGTCCATCCAGACCAATAACTAGAGGCCATTTCCAGAATCTGCAAAGAAAGATGGATGAAGCCTTTTAATACGCATCCATGGCTGTGTATAGACTATAGGGTTTTGTCAACAAAACTATACCTGCGTCTATACTGCCGCTGAGTTCTGTCGACATAACGTCGACAGAACTCAACAGTTTTGTCAACGGCTGTAAATCTCATTCTACGAGGAATAACGCCTTTTGTCGACAGAGTTCTGTCGACAGACGGCGTTATTGCGTCTACACTGTCATGTCAACAAAGCAGCTTGCTTTGTCAACAGAACTGGATGTAGTCTAGACGCTCTTTGTCGACAGAAGCTTTGTTGACAGTATCTGTCGACAAAATTTCTGTCAACAAAAGCCTGTAGTCTAGACGTACCCCATGAGACAACCTAAACCTACAAGTTAGACATATTTTGTGGGGCAAATTAGGAAGTTTTAGTGCCCTTCCAAGACATTTAAAAAAATCCTCAGTACTGAATTTTCTGGTTCCCAAGTAAATGTCCAGTTCCTCTTGGAATCCTGCTACACTCATGGCCCTATGGATGTCTTGTGGCTGAGAGTTCCACAGCCTTCTGTGTGATTTTACAGTTGTCACCTTCCCGCAAACACCCTTCCTGGTGTATGGCCCATTGTATGATGACATCTGTATGGAAAGTGTTTGGTGAAAATGGTCCTTATATTTATCTCTCCTGCACCAAAGCTATTTATAAACATGTTTCATTGCCTCATCATCAATATATACGTATATATTCTTTACTTTCCCCACTACTGAGAATCCACATTTTGCCTCTGCCTTTTTCTGGCTCATGGTAGGAAATCAGGGCCCACTTCTGAAATCAATAGCATTGCCTTTAACACTGTCACTCCATATCTCAATGTGTAAATTCAATAAGAACCGGAGTGGATAAATCTTCCCTTACCGAATGCTCCTGGTGATACACACTGGCCCCCAAGGAATCCCTCCAAGAGGAGCTGAAGGGCTTTGCCTGGCCAGCACTGACTGATCCCAGATATGTGGATCACCCTACAGGCTTTGCTTCATCCTCACAGGACCTGCATCCTCTGGCCATTCAAGGGTCTGTGGTTGACTTCAGTCATGCTCGGGTAACATGCTATTCATAGTGTCCAACCCTCTGCCCAACTTAGGACCAACCCCAACCAAATCATCCCAGCCAGGGCTTTGTCAAGCCCGGATTTTAAAACCTCTAGGGATGGAGATTCCACCCCCTCCCTAGTTAACCCATCCCAGTGCTTCCCCACCCTCCTAATAGCCAACCTAGACCTCGACCACTGAAACTTGAGACCATTGCTCCTCGTTCTGCCATCTGTCACTACTGAGAACAGCCTCTCTCCATCCTCTTTGGAACCTCCCTTCAGGTAGTTAAAAGCTGCTATCAAATCCCCCCCTTGTTCTTCTCTTCTGTAGACTAAATAAGCCCAGATCCCTCAGCCTTTCCTCAGAAGTCATGTGCCCCAACCCCCTCGTAATTTTTGTTGCCCTCCACTGGATTCTCTCCAATGTGTCCCCGTCCTTTCTGCAAATGGGAACCCAGAATTGGATACAGTACTCCAGATGTGGCCTCATTAGTACCAAATAAAGGGTAATAATCACTTCTCTAGATCTGCTGGCAATGCTCCTCCTAATGCACCCTAATATGCCATTAGCCTTCTTGGCTACAAGGGCACATTGTTGACTCATAACCAGCTTCTCATCCACTGTAATCGCCAGGTCCTTTTCTGCAGAACTGCTCCTTAGCCAGTCAGTCCCCAGCCTGTAACTATGCTTGGGATTCTGCACTTGTCCTTGTTGAACCTCATCAGATTTCTTTTCCAGTTTGTCTGTTAGATGATCCTTCTGGGTTCCAGGGAAGCGGGCAGGTGAAAATTGTCCAGAGCTAATGGATCGCTCTCCACAGTCTTTGGGAATTCAAATAATTCAAAACTGATCCTGGGGATTCAAATATTGACAGGGGACCACAGAAAATATAGCAAGGGCAGGTCTGACGATCAAAGGGTTTTTAAAAAGAGAACCTGAAGTGGACACCAAAGAGAAACCTCACATAGCACCCATTGCTCCTTGAAAGTGTCCGGGGGGCCAGTGGTCTCTACCAGGAACATACATGAACATATGGGGCTGGAGCATATGACTTATGAGGAGAGGCTGAGGGTCTGTTTAGTCTGCAGAAGCGAAGAGTGAGGGGGGATTTGAGAGCAGCCTTCAACTTCCTGAAGGGAGGTTCCAAAGAGGATGGAGAGAGGCTGTTCTTAGTAGTGACAGATGGCAGAACAAGGAGCAATGGCCTCAAGTTGTGGTGGGAGAGGTCCAGGTTGGATATTAGGAAAAACTATTTCCCTAGGAGGGGGGTGAAGCACTGGAATGGGTTCCCTAGGGAAGTAGTGGAGTCTCCATCCCTAGAGGGGTTTAAGTCTCGGCTTGACAAAGCCCTGGCTGGGGTGATTTAGTTGGAATTGGTCCTGCCTAGAGCAGGGGGCTGGACTTGATGACCTTCTGAGGTCTCTTCCAGTTCTATGATTCTATGATTCTATATGGAGCATTGGAAGAAAGCCCCACAGAATCCTTTCAGCCAGCAGCCTCTCTCTGGTGATGTAGATGGCCGCTTTGGCCATCGCTAGGAGGAAGTTGACGGCTTTGTGGAGTCACTGCTGGGGTGTCCTATTTGAGAAGGTGGGGGAGAGAAGCACCACCACAGACATAAAAGGAGACCCAGGAGGACCCGGGATAGGGTCTGAAATCTGGTGCACTCGGGGTAGGGATAGACATCGGGGACAGGAATGAACCAAGCCAAATCCATGCCCGTCGTCATGGCTCCATGGAGGAACCACCATCCAGCTTCCCCAGCAGGCCATGGGAGCAAAGTGGAATATAGGTTGGGGCACTGGGGTTCTTCACCCTCAATAGGTGGCAAAGATCCACCATTTAGCATCGGGGTGGGACATGAAGGTAAGGAAGCGGAGACTATGGAGCATGAGCGTGTACACAAACCGTGAAAGCACACAGGCGGAAGGCCTTGCAGCCAGCTCAGATTGTGAGCGGGAGGTGTCCGGGGAGCTCATAGGGCAAGAGCCTAGGAAAAGACCCCGAGGGCCTGTCATGTGCAGTGAGCAGGGAACAACCTTCCGGAGGCCATGCCCAAGGTAAACCCGAGCAGTAAGCAGTACTGTCGACAAAGCAAGCCACTTTTTCAAAGGAAAGTCTAGATGCTCTCTTTCAAAAAAGCACAATTTGCATGCAATAGCAACTTTTTTCAACAGAGTACTATCGAAAACAGGTATTATTCCTCATAGAATGAGGTTGACCACCGTCGACAAAACTGCCGCATTACTGTCGACTTACTGTCGACAGAACATGGCGGTAGTGTAGACGCAGGTATAGTTTTGTCATCACACCCAGTATGTTATAACCTCCGCGCCTGGTAATCAGGCACAAGGAGGGTTTGCAGGAAGTGGATTTCAAAGTCAAATGCCTGAGTATTCACGGAAATGGAACTTAATTTCCCACATGAAAACAGTCGATTGCTCTCTGACTACCTGTGTCTGTTTTCATACCCCCTGGGAACGGTATTGGGACAGACCTGGAGGTGAATTTCCAGAATGAATGTTACTCCTAGCAGAATTCTGTGCCACTGCGCATGCACAAAATGTATGTCCTCAGCAGGTTTCTTTTCTTCCCTGCAGAAAAATGGCTTCCTGAAAGGGAAGCAAGGGGAAGCCACATGAGAGGTCAGGCAGACCTCCACAGAAATATGTTCCCAGTGCCCAAGGCATGTGGCAAAGAAGTATGTCATTGTGGGGCAGAGGACAGGACTGGTAAGAACTGTCTATGTTTCTTATCCTAGCATGGGGATCAGGTGTCAGTCCCGGCTGGGCTGGTGAGGATGAGACTTCTTCCCCTGCTCAGCATCTGGGGCTGGGTCCGACCCACCCCAGATTTCTCCCCCAGCTGCAGGAAGCTCTGCAAACTTACACACACACTGTAAAAACTCTGGTCTTCTGAAGAAGTGGGCTGTGCCCACGAAAGCTCATGTTCCCATTTCTGTTTTGTTAGTCTAGAAAGTGCTACCAGACCAGTTTTTGTTTTTTGAGTTTAGCCTGTACAAACTAACTCAGCTACCTCCTGAAGCTTCTGAACACACACACACACACACACACACACACACACACACCCATCACACCTCAGCTTCGGGGGAGGGATCCCCATACAGGAAGCTGCTCTCCCATCTGCCCAACCCCCGTGTATCCTGATCCTCCCACGGAGCCAAAGCCCCTAGACTCAGAAACCCCCTAATGAACCCATAGCTGGCCCACCCCGATGGGTCACCCACACCCAGATCCCCACCTCACTTAGCCTCACTCCCCAAACATCTGGATCCCCACTGAGTCCCCCACACCTCCACCCCCCTGCCAAGCTCTCGCCCTGCATACCAAAACCCTCCATGCAACCCCAACTACCCTCACCTGCATCCCCCTATAGAGTCTCATGACAGTTGTACCCAGAGCCTCACCCCCCAGCAAGCCTCTGTGTACCCAAATCCATCCCACACCTGGATCCCCCAGTGACCCACCCCAGCCTGATTGCTCCCCACCAAGCCCTCTCACCTCACCCCACCCCACACTAAGCCCCTCCATGCTTGGTCCTGCCTTGCTGAGCTTGCCTGCCCACAACTAGTGTGCCATGAACAGAGGGCCAGAGTCCTAGGGTGCTTCTAGAGCAGTCTGCATCCTTGCACTGAGCCCGGGCTGGGTGTAG